GTGTTGTGTGTGCTTTGCTCTCTGTGCTCTGTGTGTTCTGTACTCTGTGTGTTCTGTGCTCTGTGTGTTCTGTGCTCTGTGTGTTCTGTGTGTTCTGTGCTCTGTGTGTTCTGTGTGTTCTGTGCTCTGTGTGTTCTGTGCTCTGTGTGTTCTGTGCTCTGTGTGTTCTGTGCTCTGTGTGTTCTGTGCTCTGTGTGTTCTGTGCTCTGTGTGTTCTGTGCTCTGTGTGTTCTGTGCTCTGTGTGTTTTGTGTTCTGTGCCCTGTGTGTTCTGTGTGTTCTGTGCTCTGTGTGTTTTGTACTCTGTGTTTTGTGCTCTGCGTGCTCTGTGTGTTCTGTACTTTGTGTGTTCTGTGCTCTGTGTGTTCTGTACTCTGTGTGTTCTGCGTGTTCTGTACTCTGTGTGTTCTGCGTGTTCTGTGCTCTGTGTGATGTGTGCTCTGTGTGTTCTGTGCCGGCTGACGGCCGGCCCTGTGTCGTCAGATTGCCGCCGAGATCTCCGCGCCGCTCTCCAAGGTGGACGAAATGGTGCTTCTGGGTGGCGAGGACAAGATCACATCGGAGCTGACACGGCTGGTCGGCCAGGTGCCGCCGGCGCTGAACGCCCTCACCGGCGTCGACCTCTCAAAGGTCAGTGACCCCGCTACACACACCCACACCCATATACACACACAACGCACGCACACGACAAGATCACCTTGATCACCTTGTGTGCGCACACGCACGCACACGCACAGTGAGCACTTACCACAACTCTCCACTGTAGCTGACTGCTGTAACTGACCACAACTCTCCAGTCTCCACTGTTAGCTGCCTGCTGTAACTGACCACAGCTCTCCACTGTAGCTGACTGCTATAACTGACAACAGCTCTCCACTGTAGCTGACTGCTATAACTGACAACAGCTCTCCACTGTAGCTGACTGCTGTAACTGACCACAGCTCTCCACTGTAGCTGACTGCTGTAACTGACTACAGCTCTCCACTGTAGCTGCCTGCTGTAACTGACCACAGCTCTCCACTGTAGCTGACTGCTGTAACTGACCACCACAACTCTCCACTGCAGCTGACTGCTGTAACTGACCACAGCTCTCCACTGTAGTTGACTGCTGTAACTGACCACAACTCTCCACTGTAGCTGACTGCTGTAACTGACCACAACAGCTCTCCACTGTAGCTGACTGCTATAACTGACAACAGCTCTCCACTGTAGCTGACTGCTGTAACTGACTACAGCTCTCCACTGTAGCTGACTGCTGTAACTGACCACAGCTCTCCACTGTAGCTGACTGCTGTAACTGACCACAACTCTCCACTGGTAGTTGACTGCTGTTAATGACCACAACAGCTCTCCACTGTAGCTGACTGCTGTAACTGACCACAGCTCTCCACTGTAGCTGACTGCTGTAACTGACCACAGCTCTCCACTGTAGCTGACTGCTGTAACTGACTACAGCTCTCCACTGTAGCTGCCTGCTGTAACTGACCACAGCTCTCCACTGTAGCTGACTGCTGTAACTGACCACAACTCTCCACTGGTAGTTGACTGCTGTAACTGACCACAACAGCTCTGCACTGTAGCTGACTGCTGTAACTGACCACAGCTCTCCACTGTAGCTGACTGCAGCTGTAACTGACCACAACTCTCCACTGGTAGTTGACTGCTGTATCTGACCACAACAGCTCTCCACTGTAGCTGACTGCTGTAACTGACCACAGCTGTCCAGTCTCCACTGTAGCTGACTGCTGTAACTGACCACAGCTCTCCACTGTAGCTGACTGCTGTAACTGACCACAATTCTCCACTGTAGCTGACTGCTGTAACTGACCACAGCTGTCCAGCTCTCCACGGTAACTGACTGCTGTTACTGTCCACTCTGACCATTAGCTCTCCACTGTGACCGTCCACGGTAGCTCTCCACTGTGACCGTCCACGGTAGCTCTCCGCTGTGACCGTCCACGGTAGCTCTCCACTGTGACCGTCCACGGTAGCTCTCCACTGTGACCGTCCACGATAGCTCTCCACTGTGACCGTCCACGGTAGCTGTCCACTGTGACTGCCCCCTCTGCCGCCAGGTGCTGTCCAAGGTGCCGGGAGCGGAGGTGAAGTAATCCGCTCCGACCGAGCAGCTCGGGCCGCCGCTGCCGCGCCGCCGCCCTGGGGCCGGCAGCCGCGGCCGTCCTACCTCGGATGGCGTATGTCGACCGGGTGCTGTGCCGCCGCCGGGCGCCACGCAGCACGCGAATCTCATCCCTCAGCCTGGCCAAACCTATCCCGCACCCCGTGGGGGGGGGGGGGCAGAAGCTAAAAGCTTCCCCATGCCTGTCCATCGTCGTCAAACATAAGTACCTTGTCACACGTCGTTTTGACATATTCCTTTAAAATTTAAACAAAATCCGATACAAAATTTCTGAGAAAATGTTTTAGTGACGTCAAGCCATTTTTGCTTCAAGGGCTGCAAAAATTCAAACGACTTAAACACCTTCAATTCTTAATCACGAGGTAAAAATAATGTACGTGATTTTACTGGAGGTAAAAAGCATGCACGTGATTTACTAGAGTTAAAAAGAATGTACGTGATTTTTCTTTTTCATTCAATTGAGTGAAATAATGTTGTTAAATTTCAAACTTTGAAAATGTTCAAAAACCTATTTCTTGGTAAAAGACCGCTATAAAATAAATTTTTTGCACCAAACGAAATTTCAACTTCGAGAAGTAGGTGCGGTCTGCAGCCTGCGCACCTATATTCCAATTTTTAGAAGATCTGGTTAATTTTTTTCGGATTTCAGTGACGTCACGACACACAAAATTTTTCAAAGCAAATTTTAGGGACTTAGCCTAAGTGCAGGAATAAAATGACAGTATCGGATTCGATGTGAAAACTGCACCAGATTGATGCCTTTTTGGTCTCAAAATCAACTAAATAATTTGGCCTCAATTGACCTGACATGGAACTGAACTTCATGCACATATGGTCAATTTTACTAATTAAGTATGCCCAATGCCTATTGAGTTATATGCGTAAAACGACCCGGGAAGCATGTGCTGCACATATCCAATTCTATAGTTCGTCTTTGCTGACTTGACCTGACCTTCACCTTAGCATAACATTGTATGCAATGCTCATGCATTATGGTCAAGAACGTATTTTGGGTGACCAATCTCAGTAAATTCTTCGCCAACTGGGCTCCAAAGCTGGTACTGTAGAAACTTCAGTATTTTTTACCCTCGAGCTGACCTGTGACCAACTTGGGCGAAACAATTTGTTCTCAACTGTCAGACTTGTTGAGAGCTTTCAATGGCCGTTTCACCCGCCTTTCTGAGACCATCCTTTCGGAACAGCCCCTTCCCCCGCCCCTCCCCCCCCCCGCCCGCGGATGCGCTATGGGTGAATAGGCGAGCGAGCGCGGGTTAAAAGGCATTTTGATTGGACCATTCTGCAGCACATATGTGTATCAACCTTGCCTTTGCTCGTTTGACGGTTTAATCGCATCCGCCACGATAGATCGGTTTACTAACGCTCACTACGGGGTTTAGTATAGGAGTCGCTTACCAGTAGATTACCAGACACGACATAGCTAATCGCACAATATTGCTGCCATCGCCCCTTTTCAGTTAGTTGCGACGTCTCGACTCGCCTCCTGAAGTTGGTTTCGCACGCTGTTGTTCGGAAAACACCATTCTTCTGCCGACTGTGGAGGCCAGCTGACTGCCGTACGCGCTATGTAGTAGCTGCCACGTCGCGCGCCGTGTGGGCGGGGTGCTATTTCAGTACACTCAGCGCGGCGTGCGGAGGGGTGTGTGCGCGCTGCCGGGAGTGCCTGCCGCCGTGCCGTGCCGTGCCGTGCCGTGTCGTGCCGTGCCGTGCCGTCCTGTTCCGTGTAGTCAGCCGGGGAGCGCGCGCCGTCGGGCCCTCGGCCAGTCACCAGATCTGGCACACCTGGCCGGACGCTGCGCGCCCGTGTCGCCGGTCATTTTATCCCACCGCGAATGTGTTGAGCGGCTGGGCCGCGCTGCTCCTGGCCCGCCGAGTGAGCGGCTCATGCTCTGCCGAGTGTACTAAAACAAATCCTATAGCCAGGATGGGAATTTTCCAGTCTGTCTGTCGCCTTTATCGGCAGCCCAGCTGTCTGGAATGGAAGCACGCTTACGCTTATGTTGACATTATCTTAGTTCTAGACTTGTGTATTGCTGCGTAGGCCGCAGTGTACAGTTAACTGCAGAATTGGAATCAAGTACCACTTTCCACAGTCAATCAGTTGTCCGGAGTGGTGTAGTCTGTGCCGCACGGGCAGAGTTCACAGTGACCCAGCTCTCAGCTTAATTGCGTGATGAACGGCACAGACAAGCGTTCCAGTCAACTGATGGCTTCTGAAGAGTGGAACATCTTTCTGTACATACATAGTCAACCGTACATATGTTCTGGCGCCAATGTTTTGCATGTGTTGCTGACTGCTGTTTTCGGGCAAGTAGCGGGCCTTTGCGGCGGATGTTTGCGGGCGGTCAGGTTCGGCGCGCCGACGCGGCCCGGCCGCCAGACATTGTTCGGTGGCTTGTCAATGTGTGCTGGGATTGTTTAGTGGCTTGGCAGTGCGTGCTTGGCCGGCGGCTAGTCAATACAAAGCGTCTGAGCCGCCGCTCGGTGGCCGGCCGGCGTATATGTATACCAATCGACAGTGAATATGAAAGGTGAAGTGCCTGGGTGCGGTGAATAATGGTTAGTTTTGGTCGAGGCCAGGCTCCTTCCACACTGGACTTCGACGGTCTGTGGTGCCGCCTGGCGGCGACTGCTCCGCGCCAACTGCTCGACTGCGGTGCCGCCCGGGGTGGACTGCTGCTCAGGGGGGGGGGGGGGGGGGGGGGGGGGACAGAGCGCACGCGCTCCGACAGACTGACATCCGGAGCTGTGGAGTCAATGAAATTTTTGGTGACTCCGACTCCGACCCCAGCTCCGACCCCGGTTGTTTCTCTTAAGTCCATATCATGATAGAAAAGTTCATGTCTGAGATATTTTTGTCTTGTCTGAAACAATCCTTTGCCGGTTCCAAGCAAGGGTTCCAAGATCTCACGTTGCAAATATACTTATAAATAACTAGTAGGTATGCAGATTGCAGAACTATGAGCAAGGTCTAATGCAGCCATTGTCTTCTGCTTTTCGTCTAAATAAAAAATTACCTCAGCTTCGAAAAAAAACTGATATGGAAACATCAACGAACAACAATATTTTGAAGTGAACTTGTGTAGGGCATGGCTGACCTACACGAAATTGACTAATTCTACTCCGGAGTCGGATTTGAGTCGATAAGATGTTGGCGACTGCGACTCGGACCGGGCAGCCCTGCTGGCAGCTAGTGCCGGCTGACGTGGCGCATCCAGCCGCTGTGCTGCGCGCGGCGCCTCCCCGAGCCCCGGCCGGCAGCCACACGCCGCGCTGGTCTGCGTGCATGTATGTACTGCAGCGGCGCTTCAGTCGACAAACACACCGGCGGGACCCGCCGTTACATGGTCTCGGCACTCTGCGACACGCGCGGCGGGGCGGCCGGCCGCTGCCCCGACCCGACCCCGGGCCCCGCACAGCCAGGGATCTCGGCAGTGTCCGGTGCGCGCAGCGGGCGGCGGCCGCTCATCGCGCCGCCGCGGCAGACAACGACACAGGCGCGGCGCGGCGGCCCAACAGAACACAGACGCACGCCTTAAATCTAGCTTAAAAATAACATATCCGAGCCACCTGGACAGAGCATCACATCACATGAACGCGCGGGCGAGCAGGTGGCGGTCGGCGGCGGCAGCTGCGGCGCGCCCGGCTGACTAGGCACGGCCGCGTGCACAGAGCCGCCGCTGCGCACCCAGCCGCTACCCGTGGCCGGCGGCGCGCCGCCAGTGCTGAGCGGCCGGCGCGGCGCCTAGCCGATGTCGGTGTGGGCCAGCGCCGGCTCGGAGCCGCCGTGGCCGGCGCCCGCTCCGGCTCTGTGCCGCTCCAGGATGCGCTCCACATACTCGGGAAGGTGTCCGGCCACGCGGTGCTCTGCCGACAGGGGACGCGGCGCCGTCACCGAACCGCTCCCCGCACTCACTGGATTAACTCCCCGCACTCGCTGAATACCCCCCCCCCCCCCCACTAAAGCGCTATGAATGTCAAAATCTATGGAGTTCTCATGCGAGTCTTTTATCCCAAGGAGCCGCTCACTGTGAAAGTCATGCGTCGCAAATCAAGTCATCCAACCTGCCTCTCGTTGCAAAGTAACACTCAAACGCAGCCGACGGCTCCGACCGCCTAATTCAGTGGTGGCAGTAAGGCCGGACAAACCAGTACAGTACAGTACGGCCGGACAAACCAGCACAGTAGAGTACGGCCGGACAAACCAGTACAGTACAGTACAGTACGGCCGGACAAACCAGTACAGTATAGTACAGACAAACCAGCACAGTATAGTACAGACAAACCAGCACAGTACAGTACGGCCGGACAAAACAGTACAGTACAGTATGGCCGGACAAACCAGTACAGTGCAGTACGGTCGGACAAACCAGTACAGTACAGTACAGTACAGTACAGTACAGTACAGTACGGCCGGACAAACCAGTACAGTACAGTACGGCCGGACAAACCAGTACAGTACAGTACGGCCGGACAAACCAGTACAGTACAGTACGGCCGGACAAACCAGTACAGTACAGTACGGCCGAACAAACCAGCACAGAACAGTACAGTACGGCCGGACAAACCAGTACAGTATAGTACAGACAAACCAGCACAGTACAGTACGGCCGGACAAACCAGTACAGTACAGTATGGCCGGACAAACCAGTACAGTGCAGTACAGTACGGCCTGGCAAACCAGTACAGTATAGTACAGACAAACCAGCACAGTATAGTACAGACAAACCAGCACAGTACAGTACGGCCGGACAAACCAGTACAGTACAGTACGGCCGGACAAACCAGTACAGTACAGTACGGCCGGACAAACCAGTACAGTACAGTACGGCCGGACAAACCAGTACAGTACAGTACGGCCGAACAAACCAGCACAGAACAGTACAGTACGGCCGGACAAACCAGTACAGTATAGTACAGACAAACCAGCACAGTACAGTACGGCCGGACAAACCAGTACAGTACAGTATGGCCGGACAAACCAGTACAGTATAGTACAGTACGGCCGGACAAACCAATACAGCACAGTACAGTACAGTACAGTACGGCCGGACAAACCAATACAGCACAGTACAGTACGGCCGGACAAACCAGTACAGTGCAGTACGGTCGGACAAACCAGTACAGTACAGTACAGTACGGCCGGACAAATCAGCACAGAACAGTACAGTACAGTACGGCCGGACAAACCAGTACAGTATAGTACAGACAAACCAGTACAGTATAGTACAGACAAACCAGCACAGTACAGTACGGCCGGACAAACCAGTACAGTACAGTGCGGCCGGGCAAACCAGTACAGTACAGTACGGCCGGACAAACCAGTACAGTATAGTACAGACAAACCAGCACAGTACAGTACGGCCGGACAAACCAGTACAGTACAGTACGGCCGGACAAAACAGTACAGTACAGTACAGACAAACCAGTACAGTACAGTACGGCCGGACAAACCAGTACAGTACAGTACGGCCGGACAAACCAGTACAGTACAGTATGGCCGGACAAAACAGTACAGTGCAGTACAGTACGGCCTGGCAAACCAGTACAGTGCAGTACAGTCGGACAAACCAGTACAGTGCAGTACAGTCGGACAAACCAGTACAGTGCAGTACAGTACGGCCCGGGTAGGAGTTCAGTACGGCCGGACAGGCGTTCCGTCATTGGAAGCGGCGGGTGGCTGCCGGGGACAGCGCGTGCACTCACTGTGCGCCTGTTTGACGACTCTGTCGACCATCTGGCCGGTTTGCTCGGCGGTGAGCGGCGGGCCACCGTCGGCCGGCGGCACCAGGCGCGCCCGCAGCGCCTCGTGCATGTCGCGCAGCGCCGCCGTCAGCCGCCCTGCGGTGCACGGCCGGCCGCGTCAGTCGACACCGCGGTAGGTACCACCGGCGGCAGCCCGACTCGGGCCGCTCCCGCCGCATATACCTAGCCTGACCTTTAACGAGTAGTATCTAATTAGCGCGCATCTTAGGGACGTGATTACTACAACGGCTGACTCAAGCTCACTCACTTGTAACACGGATCAGGCAGTTTTGGGGGAGGAGGGAAGCCGAGGCGAACTCGCTCGGCGCGCAGCCCCTGGAAGCTGCCGCGTAGTGCGCCTGCACGGCACTTACTGTGCTCCTCGCCCAGTCCAGAGAGCTGGATTTTGTTCGCCTCGTGTTGCGCCTTCTTCTTGAGACGGCACGCCCTGCGGCCAAATAGAGTGCACAGGATATTCGGTGTCAGAGCGGGCGGCGGCGGCGGCCCCGGGCACACACTGTACAGTCACACTGCGCGGCCAGCCTCCCAGCCGCCGGGCGCCAGCGACCGCGGCCAGACGGGCCAAATCGACGTCAAATCCACCAATACAGAGCTCTGAGCGCAGAGCACGCCGCATACAGCCCTCTGCAAACTGCGTGGTACCTAGGTATTCTTTTTTTTGACAAAACTTAGAATAACCCGAATACCTACTATGCTATCGGTCACTCGGAAATCGTAACAGTAACAGCAAGACGCGCGAGACTCCGCACCTTAGATTGGTATTATCGCATTCATTTTCCATCCAGTTTGGCAACAAAACCCAGAAGTTAACATTTGACACCAAAACAAATTTTTGCATTTTGTTGTCAAACAATGCGTATTCTTTGTTTAGTGATAGACCCAATCAAAGAAGTGGAGCATGACGCATCTATTTACAGTGAGTTCCGACCGACTGAGAACATAGCTTTCGAGTTGTTATCGGTTTTGTCGAAAAAAAAGAATACCCATCAGCAAGTCTGCTGAGGGCTGCACATAGGTTACCGTGCCTGTTGACTGACAGTTGAGTTGTAATGTGACAAGTATTCCATAAATATGCACGATATTACAACAAAAATTACCCGACGTTTCGTTTATTATAACTAACATAGTAAAAGGTTATAATAAACGAAACGTCGGGTAATTTTTTTGTAATATCGTGCATATTTACAGTTACCGAGCCTGTTGGCGGCGGGCGCCCACTCACCGCGACGCCAGTTTGTTCTTCTCCTTGCGCGACTTGGGGCGCACGTTGAAGGGCAGCTCCGAGACGGGAGTCATGTCGTTGATGAGCCGGTTCAGCTTGTCCAGGTCGCGCTGGATGTTGAGCAGCTTGCGCGGGCTGGGCGTCAGGTCGTTACCGTCCCCGCGGCGCGCCTTACCACTGTCAACCCGCCGGGGCCAGTGGGTCAGTCACTGGGGCGGCCCCCTCTGCCCGCCGCTGGCGTCCCCCGCGGCACGGCTTCCGGCCACTGGCGGATGGCTTTACGAGGAGGCGCACCGAGCGCCGGTAGCGCCGGTCCCAGCCGGCCGCCCCCTTCCCCACACGGTCCCAGCCGGCCGCCCCCCGTCCCCACACGGCCGCTCACCTGTGCTTGATGCCCTCCATTTTGATGTTGGACGAGAAGACGGGATCGACGGCCTGGCTGATGTGGTGCGGGTCGTTGAGGTTCTCAGTCAGCTGGATGCGCTGGCCCTTGGGTCCCTTGGCCTGAACGTTGTACTGCCAGAAGTACCGCTCCCGGCGGCTGCCCAGTGACGAGCTGAGGCCGGGCGCGTCGTCCCCGAGCGTCGAGCCTGCCGGCCCATACGCAGACGGACGCTCACGGCACGCCGAGTGGGACCGCGCCGGGCCCCGCGCTCACACCCGGTGACACCGCACCCCTCAGATACCGGTCCCGAGTGCTGCACCCGCCCGTACATAGGAGTACACTGTCAGACGGTCAGCGTACCGAGTACTGTACCCCCCCGCCTCCGAGCGCTGTACCCGCCCGCCTCCGAGCGCTGTACCCACCCGCCTCGCTGTCGCTGTACCCACCCGCCTCGCTGTCGCTGTACCCACCCGCCTCCGAGCGCTGTACCCGCCCGCCTCCGAGCGCTGTACCCACCCGCCTCGCTGTCGCTGTACCCACCCGCCTCCGAGCGCTGTACCCACCCGCCTCGCTGTCGCTGTACCCACCCGCCTCGCTGTCGCTGTACCCACCCGCCTCGCTGTCGCCTGTACCCACCCGCCTCGCTGTCGCTGTACCCACCCGCCTCGCTGTCGCTGTACCCACCCGCCTCGCTGTCGCTGTACCCACCCGCCTCGCTGTCGCCGTACCCACCCGCCTCGCTGTCGCCGTACCCACCCGCCTCCGAGCGCTGTACCCACCCGCCTCGCTGTCGCTGTACCCACCCGCCTCGCTGTCGCTGTACCCACCCGCCTCGCTGTCGCTGTCCGAGTAGTGGTCATACGGTGACTCGGCTCCCTCGTCCACGTACGACTCGTGCGAGCCGGGACTGAGCACGCCTGCGGACACGGCACGGGCCGTCAGTCACAGTCACAGTCACAGTCACAGTCACAGTCGCAGTCGCAGCCAATTCACCAGCGCTCCACTGCGTCCCCTGCCGAACACAATTGACTGAGGGGATGTGAAGGGGGTTCCAGGGGTCCGCACTAAAATATCCAATCACAAAATTTAGAAAACATTATGTCGAAGTCGCAAAATATCTAAAGCAAGATATCGAAATGACAAAATATCTAATCGTAAAATATTGAATCGTATAATATCGAAATGTCACAATATCGAAAGACACAACACCGAAAAGCTGTCGAAAATACAAATTATCGAACGCAGAATATTGAAAACACGAAATTTCGAAAAACAAATAAGTAGAGGACAAAATAGCGAAAGACAAAAGATCGAAAAGACAAAATATCGAAGCCAGTATATCAGACAGGCAAAATATCGAACGCAACCTATTACCTACAGGGTGTCCCAGAAGTAGGTACTCGAACATCGTTAAGGTATTATCGTATAAGATAAGGCAAAAAATAAATGCACTTTTTCTTTTTATCGTCCGATATAGACAACTTAGGTAGCTATGAAATGGCACATGCCAGGACAGTCTACTGTCTAGTACTAAGATTAGCCGACAACGGTGAAAAAATGCCAGCCGGAGGATTATACAATCATTTTAGATTTAATTAATTCGATAATCTATAGAAAATGATTATAATAATGATTAGATAAAAATCCAAAGTACTCTCAGGCCAAAGACATTCTCACAAAAAAAGTCGACCTACACCACTGTTCTAGCATTCTAGCATTGTTGATGTTTTTCATGCCTGCATTCTTTGGCTTCAATCAGGTTTGGTTTCCAAAACAAACCCGTTCATGACCATTTGGTTCGCGGCACCCAGTTTCTGCCGAATATTAATGCTAGAATATTACCACAGTAGTAACTAGTACTATGTGTTATCGGTCGTCTTTGGGGCTGAGCGCACCGTGGCTCAAACTGTCTCACGCTTTGATTTTCCATGGATACCTGGCCGTCCCCGCTGTTGGGCGTTGTAGCCATCTGACGTCTACACACCTTTTTTCGGGCTTTTCAAGGGTCAGCACACATTCGTTAGAATACAGTGTTTCAGTTTACTATTTTGTGGCATGTATATATATATATATATATATATATATATATATATATATATATATATATATATATATATATATATATATATATATATATATATATTTAGGCCAGAGTCCAGAGACCCAAAAAATCCAAAAAAATGTCGAAAATAGTGGCGAAAAGTAGAATGTTTTGTAGCTGGTCCTGATCTGTCGTTTAGCTAGTTTTGGATAGATCAATGACGTTTGTTGAGCATGCATCGGCAACCACCCGCTTGACGACTGATGCGGGCTCCTTTCTGGCCGCGCACCAAAAACCTGTGGTAGTCGTGCCGATGACGGGTAAAATTTTCAGCTTTGTAATGAAACCAGTCTCAACACCTCCTCTGCGAGCAGGGTAGCTTCCGTTGACCACACGCTTACTGCCATCACAAGTTACCGGACGGCGACTGCCCGCTCATCCCCCTTCCCTCCCATAACCACTCCCCTCGCCCCGCCGCGCTGGCTGCCACCGCGTGTCAGGCTTTGATCAGTGCTAACAGTAGCTCTCAAACTTTCCGCTCAACCGCGGCTGGGACAAGTGGCGCCCTCCCCTCCGAGTCGCGATGCTTTCAAGAGACTTTACTGGAGCGGCGTTTGAGGCGAATTCGCCTCGGCGGGCTCCAGCGGTGCGAGCGTCCGGGTCTGTTGATGTTTCCATGGAAACCCAATACACCGATACGCGTATCTCGCTGTAGCGTCGTGCCGTGAAAGAGGGCGGCGGCCGCAGGGCGCGCTGGTCAGTTGGGTCCGGCAGACGGGGCCGTGCCGGACGGGCCGACTGCTCAGTGAGCCGTGCTCGACCGGCGCAGACCGGCCGCATACCGCAGCCGGCTCGCATCTCAACCGACATCTTAAAGCCCAAGTTGACATGTAGGAATATGTGCTTGGCAACTTTTCATCTGGGCAGGTACGGCTCACGGACTTTTCTCCGCAGCGCACCCACAGGCCATCGGCATCATATTCATGATGGTTTGCCTCGCAAAGTTACTCGACGGAGTACTCCGGCCAAACTGTTCCCAATGAATGTTTTATAATATGTCTGCGTCGCCATACGGGCTGGCCGGCTGGAGCGGCACCGCTCGGCGGCCGGAGCGGCACCGCTCGGCGGCGGCTGCAGCGGAGCCCGCCTGCTCCGCTGCAGAGATCGGTAATCGGCGGGCCGGGCCGGACCGAGACGGACAGCCACTGAGAGCAGCACCAGACTGGCAGAGCCCCGGCACACCCAGACTGGCAGAGCCCCGGCACACCCAGACTGGCAGAGCCCCCGGCACACCCAGACTGTCAGAGCCCCCGGCACACCCAGACTGGCAGAGCCCCGGCACACCCAGACTGGCAGAGCCCGGCACACCCAGACTGGCAGAGCCCCGGCACACCCAGACTGGCAGAGCCCCGGCACACCCAGACTGGCAGAGCCCCGGCACACCCAGACTGGCAGAGCCCCGGCACACCCAGACTGGCAGAGCCCCGGCACACCCAGACTGGCAGAGTCCCCGGCACACCCAGACTGGCAGAGTCCCGGCACACCCAGACTGGCAGAGTCCCGGCCCACCCAGACTGGCAGAGGCCACTGGCCACTGGCGGATCCAGGCTTGCGTTTTGGGGGGGGGGGGGCAACTCATGCAGGAGCCAAACCTAGGGTACCCCCAAATCCTGTTTTCTCATCGGATTTAGGCCACTTATTTTTCGTCACAGCCCTGACACTATAAATATTTTTTTAAACTAAAAAAATATATATAAATGGTAGCCCACCCGACCCATGCCTTTATATTACTTTGTAAATACCTACCATTGCTTTTGTCGACCAGTTAACCAGCTTCGAGTCAGTGCTAGGGTCCCTTTGCGGGCCGGGAGGTGGTAAAACACCCCCTGTCTAACTCGGCTCCTGGGCCACGCACTGATTGAACTATGTTTCATTATCGTTTGGGGGAGGGGGCAAACGGGCCACTTTAGGCCTCTGGGAAGGGGGCATGGGAAGGGGGCCCTAAATGCCCCCTCCCTGGATCCGCCAGTGTAAGAGACCATTGGAGCTGCAGTTGGGTACCTCAGACGTCAGGGTACGCCCTCAGATGTATAGGACTCGCATGGAGACCTCTTATGCTATAGTGGACTGAAAGGACCCAAAGGAGCCTGTCTAGGGCTCCCGGAGATAGACGTGGGCCCTCAGGAGCCCGCCAGAGCCTCCAATGAGGGATAGGTGAGGGATACTAAGTGCCTGCAATTGCATATTGCATAAGCCATAACGCCTTTACAAATCAATATATATTATGTATCAGTGGCAGATCCAAGGGGGGCCACATGGGTCATGACCCCCCTTGGTACGCCCGGGGGAACCACAGGCCTGTCAGGGGCACCACCGGCCTAGCAGGGGCACCACCAGCCCGCCAGGGGCACCACAGGCCTAGCAAGGGCACCACGGGCCTGTGAGGGGCCCCACAGGCTTGTCAGGGGCACCCCAGGTCTGTCAGAGACACCAGAGACCTGCCAGGAGCGCCGCCGGCCTCGCAGGGGCACCATGGGCCAGTCAGGGGCACCAGAGGCCTAGCAGGGGTACCACAGGCCTTACACGGGCACCACCGGCCTTGCAGGGGCACCTTGGGCCTTCAGGGGTACCACAGTCCTGTCAGGGCCCAGGGGCACCAGCGGCCTAGCAGGGGCACCACAGGCCTGCCAGGGGCACCACCGGTCTAGCAGGGGCACCACCGGCCTCGCAGGGGCACCATGGGCCTGTCAGGGGCCCACCGGCCTCGCAGGGGCACCACCGGCCTCGCAGGCATCACGGCATCACGCAGGGGCACCTTGGGCCTGTCGGGGGCATCAAGGGCCTGTTGGGGGCACTTTAGGCTTGTCAGGGGTACCACAGCTGTCCTGTCAGGTCCCAGGGGCATCAGCAGCCTAGCAGGGACACCCTAGGCCCGCCAGAGGCACCACAGGCCTGCCAGGGTCCAGGGGCACCACAGGCCTAGCAAGGGCACCACGGGCCTGTCAGGGGCACCTCAGGCTCCCGTGCCCCCCCCCCCCCCGGATCCGCCAGTGATGCCACACCACGCGAAGCACCGCCGACTACAAGCTGCCGCGCCATAAACACGTGCCAACAAGTCTTTTTTTAAGGTCGACTCCGCTCGCGCAACTTTTGACTGACCCTCACTGCTACCATATTGCTTCCATATTATGCTGTGGAAAGCTTTACTTCACCAAGTGGCTAAAAACCTCTATCAAGGTATACTTTCTTAGCAATTTTTCTGACGTTTTGGGGGGGGGTCAAACAGGCCACTTTAGGCCTTTGGGGGGCCATGGCCCCCGTGGCCCCCCTGGATCCACCAGTGCCCCCGGCACACCCAGACTGTCAGAGCCCCCGGCACACCCAGACTGGCTGATCCCCGGCACACCCAGACTGGCAGAGCCCCGGCACACCCAGACTGGCAGAGCCCCGGCACACCCAGACTGGCAGAGTCCCGGCACACCCAGACTAGCAGAGCCGCGGACACCCAGACTGGCAGAGTCCCCGGCCCACCAGTCTGGGACATCAGCATTAACAGAGACCACCAAATAGACCGATAGAACCAGCGGCCAGTGGCTCACGGGTCATATGAAAAGCACCATTCGCGCCAATTGGACCGACATTCTGACACACATACAGCCGCACAGGGTGCACGGACATCTAATGTGGACTTTTAGTTGCAAATAAATTGGAGAAAATCGGCCACTCTTGGAATGAACTTTTGACCGCCAGGTGACTCGAAATTACAGGGGAGTTCAAAAAGTTTTCGGCCAAACAATGAAAGAGTTGGAATTTCGGCCTGCAATGCGGTGTGCTCAATAATGTGTTATTGGGACGTCCACTTACGTGGACATTAACCATTCTACCCTGTACTTAGTTCAGGCTGCTAGTTGAACGTAACATACTTTGCCGCTCCCGGCCGGGATGGGCGTAGACCAGAAGAGAACAGTGATTCGGTTCATAGTGTTACAGAAAAAAAGGCACCAAACGTTATTCACGAAGTTATCGGTGGAGCCAACAAATAACTAAATGCACGTACTTTTATTGACGTTTCGGTTTCAAACAACCTTCGTCAGAATAAAATTACAAGTTAAAATATAAATATACGTCTCAAATGCACATCAAATGCACATATTTCAAACACACTGAGAACATAGCAGAGATAAATTCAAACTGCGTCAACACTGGCTACGTTTAAAGTCTTCATGGAACGTGACACTTGTTTTTATTCATCCTATTTGTAGTGCTATTTTTGCAGTGCTATTTAGTTATTTGTTGGCTCCACCGATAACTTCGTGAATAACGTTTGGTGCCTTTTTCTGTAACACTATGAACCGAATCACTGTTCTCTTCTGGTCTACGCCCATCCCGGCCGGGAGCGGCAAAGTTTAAAATGCTGATCAAAAGCCTCTCGTTGCGTTCTTTCGCTTGCCGCCTGGCTGCAATTATTCGTTCCGAGTTATCGGCTGGGAGTTTTCACGCCCCCCCCCCCCCCCCAACAACTGGTGGATGGCAAAATACCCCAGCAACTGCCGGGTTAAGAGGGTTTCGAAAGTGATCTCGTGCTTTTCAAATTATTCTACGCCACAAACGAATAATTTGGGAAGATTTCAGAACATTAACTTATGGCCACTGTTGTGCCACAGTACATACAGCAATTCCAGGGCAATCGGGGACCACCCAACTACGATCATTGTAAGCGCCTTCTGAGGCGGCCAAGAAACCAGGAATACTTCAGCAGAACGTACACTAGAAGGCATGAGCTGCTGTGTACGAATACGGGTACACTTTTGGTCGGCGCTTCTCACTAGAGGAGCCCAAGGACACACAACTGAAGTCATCACGCTCAACTTCCTTCTAACAAGCACGGAGGAAAACCAGGCCACGGCACTAGACTGACCGTCCGATACGCGGACTGGTCCGGACCTGTTTTGGCACCAGGATGGTCCGTGTGCACCGTGCAATGCCGATCCACCGGCCTGTGCGACTGGCCGCGTCCGTGGCGCTGCGGCCAGCGGCAGTGCCGGCCGGCGGCCCCACTCACCGGTCGAGACGGACGAGCTCGAGCCGCGCAGCTCGTCGACGCGCGCGCCGGCGGCCAGCGGGCCCAGCCGGCCGGCGGCGCGCTGCTGCTCCAGGTGACTGTCGCACGGCACCGAGCTGCTGAGTCGGCCGGCGGCGCCCGACGGCCGCGGCGCCGCCGCCGGCTGCGCCAGTAGCGCCTGCAGCGTCAGACGGCCGCCGCTGGTGCCGCCGCCGCCGCCGCCGGTCGGGAAGCTGGGCAGCATCGGGTCGTGCTGACCGACCAGCGGCGCCCCCGTCTGCGGCGCGAACGACGCCGGGATCGATGACGAGAAGGGCGCCCACTCGCTCTTGACGGGCGCGTCGAGCAGCTCCGTTTTGACGAGCGGTGTCGCCGGGGCACCGAATGAGTCGCCGGCGAAGTCGAGCGACAGCTCGCCGAGGTCGTCGCCGGCGTTGAGCTCGGTCAGAGTCGGCTCGCGCATCGGTCCGCTGATGAGGTCGGCCACGTCCACGTCCTCCAGGTCGAAGTCGTCGATCTGGATTCCGGCCAGGTTGCGCGCCAGGTCGGCGTGCACGGGCCACGGCGCGCCCGGGCTCGGGCTGGAGCCGTAGTCGGTGGGCGGCGGGAAGGAGCCGGCGCGGCCGGCCGAGGTGGCCAGCTCGGGCTCGGCGCGGCCGGCGCGCATCTCGGTGAACTCGGGCCCCGAGAACTGCCACTGCTGGCGGCCCGGGATCGGCACGCCGACCGAGTAGGCCGCCGGCGGCGCATCCATCAGCTGGTCCATGTCCATGGGCCAGAGGGCGTCGGAGGGCGGCGTGCGGCTGGCCGCGGCGCCGGCCGGCGGCGGGCTCAGCCCCACGCCCAGCGCCCGCTGGATCTGTGGACGGACGGCAGAGCCGGTCAGCGGCGCATCGATCCGAGCACGGACCGTCAGCGGCAACACTGCAAGGCAGCGGCGCAGAGGCCGCCGAGTCGCCCGGCCCCTCACCAACAAACCCACCCGCAGGCTTTCGCCGACACAAACAGACCAGAGGCAAGCGCAGCTGGTCACAGTGACGCTGTTCGGCTGCCTGATAGTATGTGCAAGGGCGATGACGCGATTCACTCGCTGACGTCACAAGCGTCAAACGATGACGTGCCTCGGGTATTAGGGCGGTGTTTCACTGGACGCTGGTGCCCCGCTGCCAGCGCACTTCGCGAGCTGACGTCATACATTGTGGCAGTAGTGTTGGAGATTCGATTTGTTAATGTCTCCATGGAAACCCAATTTAAAACGTGTGATGGCAGCGCGCTAGCAGCGGCCGTGAAACAGGGCCCAGCCCAACGTTAACGAAAGCCCTCGGAGCCTAGACGGCGGCGAGGGGTTAAGAAGCACACACAGACAAGTGATGGCTCCATCATAGCCATAACGGGAGTAAGTCGTTAAATTTTAACTACCATCAGCAGCTCAGTTTGGAGAATCCGGCCGCCCTCCGCGCAACAGTAGATGGTATCTGCGCCGTCCCCGCCGCCAGTCCGGCTCTCGCCGGCTCATGTCAATTCAGCAATCAATTCGGTCTGTCAACCCGGTCTGTCAATTCAGCAGCAGTGAATATCAGCCTCACAGCAGCATATTTCGGGGTGTCTCAAATCGGTATACAAGGCCTCCTCGATGCACTTTTTTCGAAAGTGAACCTTATAAGGATGGTATTTTTCGCGGTTAAAGAGTTAACGGTCCGTCAACATTTCTCAAATGTTAACAGGCCATTAACTCGTTAATGATGCAAAATACTGCCTCAAAAGAGGTACATTTTCAGAATCAGCGCATTGAGGAGGCTTTGTACACCAATTTTCAGCCGAATCGACAGACCCCGCTGTTTCCTGACCAACCGGCGTGCGGGTGTTGCGCGCGCGGCGCGGTAGAGTGGCGCGCGCTCCCGGCGTGCGGGTGTTGCGCGCGCGGCGCGGTAGAGTGGCGCGCGCTCCCGGCGTGCGGGTGGTGCGCGCGCGGCGCGGTACAGTGGCGCACTTGTTTGCATGCCATGGACTTTTAATAAGTTGTTCTACGACAAATAAGGACGGAGAAAAAAAAAAGAAAAAGGAAGAGGAGACAAAATGACAATGAGATGAACGGTAGACGGTACTTAAGTGGACAGCATGCAAAATGCATAAACGATAGAGCAAAAACAGAAGACAGACGGTAGACGAAAGACAGACAAATATGGTAGACCAGACACAAGTGACGGAGATAGAGATTACTCGTATATGAGGAGACCGCCAGCGGAAAGGCCGTTCCAGAATCCAGGAACTACACATCGACTTCGCCGATCACGCCGGCAGGAAGTACAGTCCACAGCAGAAGTAATGTGCGGTTTCAGTCATGGATATGTTCTGCTTCTGAAGCTTAGGAACGATTAGCCAGACTACAATGAAACTTTGAATGTAGCTTATATGTATCGTCACCCTTGCAGCTGCAATTTTAGCTATGGACATCTTCCTTTCGATCACTCCGCATTAAACAATCGCCAGTCAAAGCCAATCGTTGAGATTGGTAAAACCCTACATTACTTTAGCGGTGGGCTGTACCTCGTAGCCGTGGACAGATACTCTAGTGACAGCTCTTCCCGCGAAACTTGTTTTGGGTCGAAAATGGCAGAAATGACGTCACTCCGACGTCATTAGCGGCCAACCTATCATAGCCTATGGAAAAAAAATTGGTCACAATGTGTAATAGCTACTCCACGGAAGGTACTGAAAGTTTGGTAACGTGACGATCGGCGTAGCCGTTCTGGAGATATAAAAAAAACTAAAGGCGGCAAAAAATGCACCTGGAAGCTTAACCCGCGCCCCACTGGGGTCTGTGTATAACACGCCCTACTGGGGGGGGGGGGGGGCTATTCATAGCCCCCCCTCCTAACTCCGAAACTACTGGGCCGATCGTCAAAATTCAAACGGCGTCTGATAGCCCCGGAAAAACTGTCGAACGAAACCTAATTTCATTGACCTCGAGGTCACCGATGACGTCACAGGTCAGGTCAAAGTAAAAATTATTAGCATTTTGGCTTGTTCACATTTTGGGCTCTGGCCGCCGTCTTACAAGTCAGATCAGGCTCATTTTTGGCTTCCACACTCGTGAACAGATTCTCTAGATACCTTGAGGGTACCAAACTTGTACTTTGATTTTCAGGCCAGGGTCAGGTCATCACAGGTCACGAAAATATTATACCATGCGTCGGTCACGTGACACATGTTTTATGGTCCATTTAGGCCATAGATTTCGAATTTGATGTCTTCTGTGTCATTCGAGGTCATTTTGAGTCGAATTCAGCTTAGGTCAGGTCACTTTCAGGTCAAAAAGGTCAAATTTTGAAGTTAAAATTTTTCAACAAAAAAGGTGTCTATTAGATGCAGTTTGAGCTCAGGAACACGATGGTGCCATTTATATTGGTGTACGATGTCAAATACGTACTGAAAAATTGATTTGAAAAATTAATAATTGTGAATTTTTTGCAATAATGCGTATAACTTGGGCCATTTTTGAAGATATTTAGCTTAAACTTGCTAGAGTTAGTCATAATCATGCGTTCTGTCACATATATTCCGGTTTTTTTCGAAAAGTCAAAAACTTTTTGAGAAAAATATAAAAATATAAATTTTGAATATTATTATATAAAATTTTCAGAATTTTGAAAATTTTGGAAATCCGAGATAGCAGTTTGATAGCACGGTCAATTCTGAGTTCTTTCATGCAAAAAAATTGGATCTAGCTTAAAAACTGAGCTCTTGGGAGCGATTGCCGTGGTTCAATGTTTTGCGTCGAAATCGGACGAACATGACGTCACTCTGACGTCATTTCCGGCCGACCTATGGTAGCTACGAAGTTCAAATTTTGACACAAGGTGTCAAATTGATGCAGCCGAAGGTACTGAAAGTTTGGCGTCGATCCGTCAAGCGGTTTGGAAGTTATTGCAGAAAAACGGGAGGGGGGCTATAAATAGCCCCCCCCCCCCAGTGGGGCGCGGGTTAATACCAATTTAGAGCAAAATTGAGACACCCCGAAATGTGCTGCTGTGTGGCTGATATTCGTTGCTGCTGAATTGACAGACGTCCCATGGCCCGGTAATTCTCAGCCCCTCCCCCTCCCGCTCTCGGTCCGTCACCGACGCTACCCGGGGCGGCACACGTGACAACAAACACGCCCCGGCCGGTCACGTGGCTCCGAGAGCGCGCCAAGGCCTGACCAAACAAGCGCGGCCTCGCAGCCGCCGGGTCGACGGCCGTCGGAGCGCCGCGCGGCCGCCGCTCGTGACCTTGGCGCTACGTCACGTGACTGCTGGGACGCAGCATGGCGTCCATGAGCGACCGGCTACGGGCGCCAAAACGGCGCGCGGCACTGGCGGACGTCCGGCACGATCATTCGGACGGGGAAAATGAGCCGCCCCGAGCCGCGGCGGCCGA